CGAAATATCATTCTACAAATCATATTTCCCTCTTGTTCTCTTCTAAATTATTCCATCTGTCTGCAATATTCAATCTTTCCTTTTCAATACGAAGGAAACAATTTTGAAACAAAAAAGCGAGATAACAAACTATCCGTATTATATTATATTCCTTATCTACGAAGAAAGATTATATTTGTTCCACTTTTTTCCTTTTTTTCCTAATTAATCTAGAATAACGATTAAAATCGATCAATCTCGACGGTGTGAAAATATTATGCCAATGACTTATCACGAATCGACTGTGCCACGTATAATTGACATGATTGATGAACACGATCGAATTAAAAGGCTCCATTCATCTTGACTATCGAACAGCAATGTTTACCCGACAACTGTTACCAATTCCCCCTTCCTAATTTATTCCAGAGCACAGATGGGATTATAAGATAGTCGATTCTTGGCCAATTCTCCGAATTGTCTTTCCGAATGGTCTCCAAGTGTAGACAAAGCTAACGTAACAGGATACAATTTTATTTGCCTCGATATTATTAGTTTGGATATTTCCTCACGAAAGTTCATGCTAATTGCAATGTAAAATTCCAATTTTACCATCTTTTCAATCACAAAATTGGGGAAACGTTGATGAAATAAAATGGAAAGTGGAAAGAAGAAAATAATAATAATAATAATAATAATAATAATAATTTCAATAACATTCAAATAAAACGTGAACTACAGAAAGAATTATATTTGAAGATTTTTTTTTTTTTAATTCATATCGAAGCAATTGACATTCGATTTATCGACATCTCGAGAATGAATCGATTCAACGAAAGTACGAGTGAACATCGAGAAAAACGTGAAATCGAAAGATTTATCGCGATGAATACATAATGCGATAAAAGAAAAAACATTGAAGAAATGTGTACACGCACGATTATAAATGAATTTTTTTTTTTTCTTTTTCTTTTATCGTGTACAAACACGAAAAACAGGCCACCTGAATATCTCGGCCCCTTACTGATAAATTATTTTGCAGTTGACCTTCAGTGACCTTGATCTTGAACCATAGGTCGTTGTACGCGTTTTTAAAACGCTCTACTATGTGATACGATACGAATATATCGTCTCAATTTAAAAAAAAAAAAAAAAAAAAAAAAAATTTGACACGTTCATATATCGAAAAAAAAAAGAAGAAGAAAAAAAAAAACTATTTACACCAAATTAATTATTCCCCTCCACGCGACCTCTATATTTTTTTTTTTTTCTAACAGCTCAACAACAAACATCTAATCTATTTTAAGTATCTTACCTAATACAAAAAAAATTTTTGTATTTTTTTGTACATGATACAAAAAAAAAAATAAAATAAAATAAAATAAAATAAAATAAAGTAATGGCAAGAAAAAAAAAATTCATTTACAACGTAAAAAGATTATAAAAAATATCATGAATATTTAGATTATTTTTACACTTGCCCATATCTCTTTTATTTTTTTACTTTTTGTTCAATTAATTAAATTCACGTTAAAATATAAATTCGCATAAAATATGCGTCGAAACCATCAAGAACGAATTAATGTTCATCCGTATGTGATTGTATGCATATGTGTTGTGTTTCATAAAACTAACATTTATCGCGGGAATGCATTATTCATTACCTCATTTCTGCGGACAGTATTAGAACGTAACCTTGTCGAGCTCGAAGATACTTATTTCTACACACACCGCGCTACCCGTGCAATATAAATGCAATAAAGAAAAACTCGAATATAATAAAGAAGTAACTTTCAATTGATCCTCAACAACAACAACAACAACAACAACAATGATCCTTTCCATTGATGATCGTATTTTACTTTTTTTTTTTCCTTCAAATATTTCTTACATCCTGAATTTCCAATCAGACTCGGAGATAACGAACGAATAAATTCCAAGTAAAAACTGGTTTTCCGAGGGGAGAAAAAGAGAAAAAGTTCCAATTTTTTGCCAGGAGGTCTTTCTCCTCTCCAGAGCCTTGCCACGGTGCTCTTCTTTTATCACTTCTATAGGAAAAAGAAAAAAAAAAAAAAAACGAACGAAAGCTTTTACTCACACTACTTGACACGTTACGGAACAGAATCCTTCCTCGTTTTAATTTCATCGAGTCATTATTATTATTATTATTATTATACGTATAATCACTCTTCTTTTCAAAAGGTAATTCATAGCACAGGAAAGGAACGCATTGTCTCGTTTATTAGATCGTCGTTAAAGAGGAAAATTGGTCCTTGACACGTAATAACAACGAAAAATTAAGAATAATAATTCATATGAAATAACATCATTTCGCTCGAAGCGTACTTATCCGTAGATATATCCAGTTTCAAATGTAATTTAAAATAATATTTCCAAGGTCTTTTTTGCATCCAATTTATTGTTCTTACTCGATGCCGTGTGCAATAATACGGACGTGATTGTGAGCACGGTGATTCGATTTAACAGTCGCGCTCTCTCTCTTCTTTCTTCTCTCTCTCTCTCTCTCTCTCTCGCGTGCACAGACGTTTATCGATTTAAAATAATAACGAACGCTATGTGTTTTTCCATTTACCAAAGTGTACCATTATATCTCCGTCCATTATGTTTGTATACACGCGTATACAAACACACCGCTTTGAGATCTGACAAAACGATTTCTATAATATTGCGAGCGAAATTTCGTTGAAATAGAAAATACACCTTTGGGATCTCAATTTTCTCAAATGCGTAATTCCTTCCTCCGCCCGAATATTCCGAGTATTATCATTGTATCGATGCACAATAGCGTCCAATTACGATGACGATGATGTAAAATTAATATTACAAATTATTGGAGAAAGATGGAAAGAAAAAAAAAAAGAAATCTACTTTCGATAAATATTTATTTATTTCACACCGATCTATCTTCGAATTATAAAAAAAAAAAAAAAAATAAAAATGCAATTACGCATTTAATCGGCGAGATGATTTTTACGTTGAAAAAACGAGATACGCAAAATATTTCGACCCGATCAACTGTATGCTTAATAAGATTGTAATTATAATTTTTTTTTTATACGTTATTTTTTTACAAATATAATTATCCGATGAAAAATTATCCGAATCATCATATCGATATATGATTACGATGATTTGAAATAATCATTATAAAAATAATAAATTTTATCTATTTTATTTATTTATTTATTTATTTATTTTTTTTTTTATGATTAGTTTTGATTGTCACACAAATCGATAAGAATTGTTTGTCTCTTTTTTTCCTTTTTAATTTAAAATTTCCAATTTAATTTAATAATTTATCCCAATGAAGATTTATCTGACTCTCTCTCTCTCTCTCTCTGTCTCTTTTTCTCTCTCTAAATGATAAATTTATTATTTCCAACAATTATCGCAACAATTTTCTCAACTTAAAACTTATATAAGATTATCACACGAATCACCATTATTCATGATGATTCATGCGATATTAATCTATCAAATTCAAATTTCAAAGAAAACGATATTTCATAATCCAACTTATAACAACGATTAATAATCGATCGTGAGATGATTGAGGCGGCAACAATTGTGGATTCAACTTTGGAAAAAGAATTGAAAGTAATACGAGATACATATTTATAATACAAGGGATACGGGAAATAGAAGAGAATAAAAATAAAAAGATAAATAAAACTATGGTGCACATTCACATTCAGAGATAACTAAGATCATGATGGATGATATATATTATTCAAAGTGCTTATTCTTCGTGCAACCAGGCTATTTGCATAATTCATTGGGCTTGTTTGCAGAACCATGTTCCCAGAAATTATTATCATTTCCTTTTCATCCCAAAAAAAATTCGCAAATACGATACGCGAGGATTATTTATCCGGAAAGAAATTGGCGTTGAGTCGTAGCACAACTTCCCGGTGCATATTTAATTAACTGAATTATTCGACCAACTAAATGCAGTTTTTGACCGTTCTCCCAGACTTTTCTTTCCAATTAGTAAATGCGAATGGAATTTGTTCTCGTTTCGGGGAAAAATATCAAGTTTTTCTCCCCCCGTCTTGTTTCTTAGTCCAAATAATACAAACTCCGAATTGAATAATCTCTAAGAATTGATTGAGAAGGAGGAAGAGGGAGAGGAAGAAGTTCGTGGAAAAAAAATTATTTAATTCCGCGACGAGAAAGATGAAAATTCTCCTTGTTTTCCGAAAACGAGGGAGCAGTGTAAACAGTGAGAATGACGAGCGAAGGGGCGCGGTTAATTGACAATGTCTCGATAGTGGAGCCAAGTCGAAAATCCACCCCAACATTCGACGAGGGATTTTCCTGTCCTGCAAACCCCTGCGGAGCATTTTTACATCTGCCACCGAGTGCTTTACGCCCTTGCCTCTATTAACCGCTCCTATCTTTTATATCCTGGCCCCTTTTTGCATATCTCTTGCTTAACTCCGCTCTGGAATTTCCTCTAACTCGGGTCGCGAGAGATTTTCGTGAAAGAAAATTCCGCGCCGCAATATCATTATTAGATTGCGGATGTTTATGCAAATCGGTTACGTATGGAACAAAAAGAGGAACGGAATGTAAATAGGGATTTATTTTTCGATCTAACTATACGTGTTTTCGCGTTAACCTCGAACGATCGTTCTCCGCTCGATTTTTCCTTCGAGAATCGAGGCAAAATGAATTTACTTTATTCCCTCTGACTTTTAAAAAGTAGATATTTAAGATAAGAGGGAGGATAAGTAATAAAGTTGATGGAAAGTTTATCGTTTATTTTATTTTTCCAAGCGCAAGCAATTTTTCCGAAAAATCTCGTATCGTAAAAGTTAAATTAGATAAAATTTATATACGATATTTTCGACCTTTTTCCCGTACGTATCAATTTTCTACGAGTAAATATCCGCGAGCGAAATATCATTAGCGATGTGTAACCACGGTATTTATTACATTCTTTTTACATTTTTTTTCTTTTTTTTTTTTTTTTTTTTTTTTTTTTTTTTTTTCCCCCTTGCCGGATGAATTAATCGATGATGTCAAGCGTAATTCATACATTCAGTTACGGTAATATTTTGCAAACGACATTATCCACGTATAAATTTAATTAATGTATAAATACATTTGCATATTAACGCGATTATACTATCATCCTCAATCAATATTAGGCATTTAAATAACATCATTACCAAGTTTTCATGGACCGAGGCCTTGCAAAATGGTCGTATATATTTATTCCGTTTAATATTCTCTATATATTGCCAACAATTAACAAAAAGTACCTAGAAGTCTTCCATCACGGGTTTTACAACCTGTAATCATCATTTACCGATTATCGATAATAACAAAGTAAATGCGATTCTTGCAATTTAACAATTAGCCAATTAATGAGCCAAGAATCGTTAAAAGAATCGAAGACGCGATTCGATTGTTAAATTGCTCGAAATTAAACGTTGCCACGTTTTCATTTATTCCAAAAAAAAAAAAAAAAGTAATAATAATAATAAAAAATGTATTTATCACTTGCGCCCTCAAAGCGAAGAAGAGAAGAGAGAGAGAAAGGAAAACGAATTTAATGCTTAGAGAAGATGGAAAATATAAGTATGGAGCTCGACGGAATTTCAGAGAAACTTCAACGAAAGGGAGGCAAAAAAATAATGAGAATGCAAATATGGTTTTGAATAAAATCCGGAAAATATGAAAGCCGCAAGAACAACATACAGATCTGCATCTACTGCCTTCTTTTTTCTTCTTCTTCTTCTTCTTCTTCTTCTTCTTCTTCTTCTAGTTCCCTTTTCTTTTCCCTTATGAAAAATTGCGTTAAACATTCGTTGTAAACTATATAAGCGTAATACTTCTCTATAATCTCGAAAAATTCCGCGATGGAATCTTTTATAAAGCGAGCTCATAAATCTTTTTTATTATCTCCGTCTTTCTCCGTACAACTATTTATCTTTTTCTAATATTTTCGTACTCGCTTCCAATCATATTTTCATTTATTCGTTCCTTCTTTTCTCTACTGAACTACTCGTGCATTTTATACGCGATGCAATTTTATCGAAAAACTTGAATTTTTTTTATAAGAAAAGAAAAAGAAAAAAAAAAAAAAAGAGATGGAAATTAGAATTATTCTTAGGGAGGAACAATCAGAATTGATCAGAAATCCACGGATATTATAAAATAGAAATGCATCGGTTCCTGCGATTTCGAAGGATATCATATTCATTAAGATTCGAAGAAATTAAATTATCGAAACTCAATTAAATAATAAAGTTCTCTCATTGCGTTTCTCGAACTAGGGAGGGGAGGAGATTGAAAAAAGAAAAAAAATATTCGATAACACCGATTCTCGTTCCCCTATTAACAGAGGGGAAATAAATCTATATTGTGTTTTCGCGATCGTGCCTCGGAATTTCATGAATTTTTCAACTTCGCCATTCGTTTCATTTTTTCCTCTCTCTCTCTCTCTCTCTCTT